TAGAGAGAAAATAACTTTTGGGCACCTCTCCAGATACATTATGCCACCCCAGGAATGATAGATTGAAATTGATGGCAAAAAAATTGTAGCTTCCACCGTAAATCACCAGCTCAATAGACCTTCCTATCAATAAAGTTATAGGATTTGACCTCCCAGAGAGGAGAAACCAGTCTCTTTTCATCTTTGGGTCCCCCTCAGCAGGTAGCACAGGTCTTTGTAGGTAATCAATAAGCATCTGATGAATTAAATTGTTACAGCGCAGCATGTCCCTGCCCGGCTCCCGCCACGCACAAAAGCCCTGGTTTCTAGGCTTCTGATCTTCTAAGGAAACTTTCCCGTTCACATTTTATAAAAGCTAAAGTTAATACAAAAAAATAACCCATCCAGCCATTTTTCTTCTGTGATGGATCATCTCGTCCCATTGGGGACTGAGCTGGGATCCAGATACCGGCGGAGGAGCTGGGTGACACCCATCCCCACGCAAACATTTACTTGGGGAGTTGGGATTTGATTTGAAGCTGGAAAGTGGCTGGGAGATTTCTGGAAATGAGAGAAATCAGTGAACCGTGGAAGCATGGAAGAGCAAGCATACTCCCTCTGGAGTGACCTATAACATTAGGTCTCCAGACATCAAAGAGCCTGTGTCCACAGACGACTTTGAAAGGAAAACAGTTGGCATGAAGGCCAGTGCCTCTCCCAACCTCTGGTGCAGCTTCAGCCGTTTGGAACCAGCCAGAGAAGACGGGGTTCTCACTAAGGACAGAGGCATGCAGAGTTCTTAGATGCTTCATGAGTAGCCAACCACGGAAGAGAAGCCTGTGGCAGAACAACTCAAGGGACTGAGTCCTTCCCGGTCCTGTGTGGTCCTCCCCAAGGACACCGAGAGGTGAGAGAGCAGCGTCAGGGGCCAGGAGGCAGGAGACCCAGGGCAGTCCTGGCTGGACCTCTCTGATAAAATGACGGTCTGAGAAACACTTAGGACACACCTGTGTTTTCAGTCATTTTCCTAACCACCTGCAGAGTTTCCTAACTTGCTCTTCTTCTTCTTATGAACACAACAGGAGAGAAGCTGCCAGGCTTGGTACGGAAGGTAGACGTGAGAAGAAATGATTGTCTTTCCATCTTTTCTTCCCTTTTCTCCTTCAGCATTCTCAGGTTCCATAATAAACATTCGACCTCAAATGATCACCATGTTGTGTAGTACAAGCGGTCTGGTTTATCGTCACATTTATGCATGCATTCTCTCTCTCTCTCTCTCTCTCTCTCTCTCTCTCTCTCTCTCTCTCTCTCTCTCTCTCTCTCTCTCTCAATCTAACTCCCCTACCCCAACTCTGCCACTCTTCCCTATCTGGTTTCTTCACTCTCCCTATGAGAAGAAAATTTGGCCTACAAGCTTTCAGACTTGGCAAGAAAACAGTATAACCAATGTGTGAGCACTCTTCTGACCCTTTGGGGTCTCCATCAAGGGTGACAGTTTGTTCCTCACCCTGTCCTAAAGGGAGGATGGATGGTGGGGCTATTCTGAGGAATTCAAGAAGGCACGGGGGAAGCCGCCAGCCAGGAGTCAGGAGCACTGAGGCGGCGTCTCCATCTCAGCCACCGCTAACCAGCACCCTCGGCCCTGCTGTCACCGAGGCGCTTGCCTCTGCTCCTCAGCTTTCCTAGAACCTTCACTGTCCTCCAACGTCAGCAGTGTTTTTCAAGCACGTGTTTCCATCCTGTTCCCATCAATCAGATTTGGTTTAAGTAAGATACTCAGAAGGGAAATTCCACTCACTTCTCTTCTGGGAAAAAGGTTGCTGCGTTTTCCAGGCCAAAATTCTTAGTCTACTATTTCTGGCAAAAATTCATAAGTTCTCAATTTGACTGAAACAAAGCCACACACAAGGTCTTAGGCAACCAGGAGTAACTCTTCACATCCACATATAAGGTTCTCTTTATTCCCCCTTTTGTAAAAGAAAATGGTTGAGTTTTTTTTTAATCTTTCATAAGATCTTAACAACTTGAATTGTCATGGTTGTTTTTTTTTTTTAATTGGCTTTTTATAGTAGCGTAAAATTAGAAAATAGTCTTGGTCACAGTGAACTTAAACAGCTCAACAGTGTCCCCTGGTGGCTATGAGCACAGACAGTATTAGAGCCACTAGGGCTCTGCTTAGTGGCAGAATCAAGGGAAACCCCCCTATCCCCTACTCAAAAACTATGAAATGTTAATGCAAATTAGAAATGCAAGCCATCCAAATATGACAAGCACAAAAGAGTTGGAGACAGAATAGCTGTTCATGTTAATAAATCGCCATGGGAAGGAATGCCCAAATTGAATAATACTTGTCTCTCTAGCCCTAAATGGGATGAATTCCTTTTTTTGGTATAAAATCTTTATTGACTAACCAAGCATCACCCCAACACCTATACCACCCACTGGCCATTCGACTGTCATGTTGTGTGTCAGTATTGTTCTCACACGCTGGGGATTCAATGTAGAAAACACACAGGCAAAAAACCTCTACCTCCAAGGAGCTCCTATTTTAGTAAGTGAGAAAGAAAATAAACAAATTGTTCAGAAAAGAAGTTCTATGAAGAAATTCAAACAGCGTAAGTGGATAGAGAGGAATAGAAAAGAGATTGGGGAGGATAGTTTTGAAAGGGTGGTCAGGGCCTCTCTAGGGCAATGGCATTGAGTAGGCACCTGGATGATTATGGAGGAGCCATGTGGAGAGAGCGTCTCAGGGATATTGAAGAGCAGGTGAAAAGGCCTGGATGTAGGAACAAGTTTGACCCATCTTAGGAATAACAAGGCCAGGGACACCGCTGATGCTTACTGAGAAAGGAATAGAGCAGGGGGAGATGAATTCTATAAGGCAGGCAGGGACCAGATTACATGTTCTGTACTGAGGAACTTGGATTCCATTCTAACTTGAATGATAACTCACTGCAGAGTTTTGAGCTGGTGCTGACATGTTCTCACATTTTTTTTTTTTTTAAGACAGAGTCTTACTCTGTCACCCGGGGCTAGAGTGCAGTGGTGTCATCGTAGCTTACTGCAGCCTCAAACTCCTGGGCTCAGGTGATCCTCCTGCCTCAGCCTCTCCAGTAGCTGAGACTACAGGTGTATGCCACCACGTCTGGCTAATTGTTCTATTTTTTGTAGAGACGGGGTCTCGCTCTTGCTCAGGCTGGTCTCAGAGTCCTGACCTCAAGCAATCTTCCCCCACCTTAGCCTTCCGGAGTGCTAGGATTTCATATGCATTTTTAGAAGAGCACTGTAGCTGCTGAGTGTTTCTTTTTCTAAGACACAGCGTCTTGCTATGTTGCTTAGGCTGGACTTGAACTCCTGGGCTCCCACCTTAGCCCCCCAAATAGCCACCAAACACAGCTTGAGTGATCTTTTTAAAGTTATGGTGAAGACTAAGACTGAGGTGGTGCTGGGGAAGGCGGGAGGGTGGTGGTGACAGGCCAGAGTAAAAGCAGGGAAACCAGTTAGAAAGCTACTGCAGGAGTCCAGGCAAGAGGTTGCTGGCTTCGATGGGGTTGGTGGCGGCAGAGGCAAAGGTGGGAGAAGTGGCTGAATTCTGAATATACTTCAGACAGCAAAACGACAGGGCCTGTTGGTGGGTTAGAAATTTGAGGATGGATTAGGATCAATTAGGACTCCTTTTTGGCCTAAGCCACTGGGTGACCAGGAATGCCAATAACTGAGCTAGAGAAGCCCAGGTAGAAAAGTTTTGTTTGATTTGCCTGCCAGGTGCTCTGTAGGATATGAAGACGGGTGGATATGAGAGTCTGGAGCTCAGAGAAGAGCTTGGGACTAGAAATACGTATTTGGAAACCCTCTGCATATAGGTAATATTTATAGCCACGAGATTGGTAGAGATCACCTAAGCAGAAAGTGCAGATAATGAAGAAAAAGAACGAAAAGGAGGCTGAAAACGGGTCAATAAAAGTAGATGTAGCTAGCGAAGACTGAGAAGGAACAGCCAGGAAGGTAGAAGGAACCAAAACTGAAGGAAGGGGATTTTTGAGAAGGAGGGAGGGTCAATGCTACAGGGAAAATCAGGTAAGAATGAAACTGGCCACTGGATTTGGCAAGACTGAGCCAGTGAATGGAGACCCTTTCACTAAAGCAGTGAAGACAAATGCTTCCCAAATAGAATGAGTGAACAGGAGGTCAGGATGTGGAGCTAACAGAACAGACATTTCTTTCAAGGAATTTTTTTAATGAACGGGGTGCTGAGAGAAGACAAAGTAGCTGAAGGGGAATATGGACTCAAAGAAGGTCTGTGTATTTTTCTTTCTTTCTTTCTTTTCAGTAACATGCTCGACATTGCTGGGAATAATTCTACATTGGGGGAGGTGAGGATTAGGCAAGAAGGGATGGGATCAGTGAACATGCTGTGGGGATGGCAGCCTTACACAGGAGCAAGGACAAGGGACAGTGAAATATGTGGAGGAATGGGAGATCTGGGCGTGGGAAGTCCTCGCTAGATTACTTCTAATATCTCAGTGCAGTAAGAATCAAGAAGCTAAGACTCAGTATTTGCTCGGAGTGTGTGTTGGGGTATCACAGATTTGAAGAAGGAAAAGGAAACGAGTAGAAAGTGAATTTTCCAGGGTCTATAGTGGACTGCCTTTCCTCATCCCCTGATATAACCTATTCTTAAGCACTTGCAACAGAATGCAGATTAAATATTAATATGTTACTGAGAAAGAAAAACAGGAAATCTTTTTTTTCTTAAAGTATGAAATATTCTAAATGTTTTAAACATCCGGAAGGACTGTAACCAACACTCATGTACACACTACCCAGATTCAATCGATGTCTGTTTCAGGTACCTTTTTAAGCAATAAAACATTACAGTCACAGTCACACCCCTTAGCGCCTCTCCACTTCCATACCTTTCTGCTCACTCTCTTCAAGTCCATTATCTAATGATAGAAAGCAACAGTGTTCAGGGCTCTGTGGTGACTTTGTTCATCCAAATGCTGATATTCAAGATGTACCTGCTATCTGGGTTGTCAGGGAGACGGCCACAGGAAGCGCAGACGACAAAGCCTGGAGACTGACACTGTAGTTGGTGCCCGGACGCAGGTCCAAGCACACTTCGGGATTCTGGCTGCTGGTAGTGATATTAAAGACCATTTCCTGGGCAAATTCCTTCTGATACCATCTCCGGCCCCAAACGTGGAACTGAAACATAAAAGAGCTCATGGGTGAACTGCTGGCTTGAACAGCTGCGAACGCCTTGACATCTGCCCTTTGTCGTGAGCCTTCTTCTTTTCTCCCTCTTCGCGCTGTTTCTTCCAAAAGTGAAAGGCATCCATAAGCAAATATTAGAGTTATAATACCATAAATATTGTACGTAGAATATTATTATGTGATAAATATATCTTTAAATAAAAATGCACAAAAGGCAGAGGCCCTGACACTGGTAACTTTCTCTTTCTTGTCCTAGTGTATACCACGCACCTGCCAAATGCAAAACGGCCTGCTGACAAAACTGCAGGAGCAAGGCCAAAGGACGTTTTCCTAGAAAGAGAATCAAGAATCTAAACTAAGCAGGACCTGAACCAGGATACTCCCTTAGCTGGTCTGGTATAAAACCTGGAAAGGATTTTTCTCCTCCACTTTTCCCCTGCACTTTCCTGTAACATTTCAGCAGGAGACACCCTTTTCTTTCTACTAATTTCTTCTAGTAGCGGCTCATCCCATGGGCTTTCTTTGTCTTACTCACAACCACATCTAGCTTCAAAAGTTCCCCTGCCTATAATCCCAGCACTTTTGGAGGCTGAGGCCGGAGGATCACTTGAGCCCAGGAGTTTGAGGTTGCAGTGAGCTATGATAGCACCGCTGCACTCTAGCCCGGGTGACAGAGCAAGACGCTGTCTCAAAAAAAAAACATATATATATATATATACATATATATACACACACACATATATACACACACACATATATTTATTTATATAAAAATTTATTTATATATATGGCCAGGCACGGTGGTGCACCCCTGTAATCCTAGCACTCTGGGAGGCCAAGGCAGGAGGATTGCTTATGCTCAGGAGTTTGAGACCAGCCTGAGCAAGAGTGAGACCAGACCCCGTCTCTACTATAAAATAGAAAGAAATTAGCCAAACAACTAAAAATAGAAAAAAATTAGCCAGGCATGGTGGCATGGGCCTATAGTCCCAGCTACTCAAGAGGCTGAGGCAGGAGGATCGCTTGAGCCCAGGAGTTTGAGGTTGCAGTAAGTGAAGCTGATGCCACGGCACTCTAGCCCGGGCAACACAGTGAGACTCTGTCTCGAAAAAAAAAAAAAAGAAAACAAAACATGTATTTACATATAAATATATTTTTATATTTATTTATGTAAAGTTCCCCTTTACTCTCTAGGCAACATATCTAGACCCTGCTCAGCACACTAGAAAGGACAGAGACACACATGTATAAGCCATTGGGTTATGCCCATTGATAGTGTCTGAGCATCAACTGCACCAAGATGTGTGCACAAAGAAACTCTCACGGCTTCGTCATCTCTCCCCAGGATTTCTGTCTTCAAATATGCAGTAGAAGTCACCATTTTCTTACTTCTTGTTGCAATTGTCACAGTAAATGTTCTATTGATAATGGCAAATGTTCTATTGATAACGGTTCTATTGAAATGAAATGTTCTATTGATAATGTCTATAGATAAATATCTGTAGACATAGATATTTAGGTCTGTGGATATTTTTTAAACCTCCCACGTAAGACAAACATCCATAAATACAGTAAATTTTAGTAACTTACTAAATACATCTCCTCTGTATCAGCTGTCTTCATGCTTCTCCATTTCAAGCAGGTTTCATTAAATCCTGAAATATTACTGATGATCTGTTTTACTGCAAGGAGGAAGAAATGCAAAATCAATTTACACCCTATACAAAAAATACTACCTTTTAATTGAGCCATTTTCCAAGATTAAACATATACACAGGATGACTTCAGCAATATTTTAATTGAGAAATTAGTGGTAGCAATCTCAAAGAAATACCACTTTTATGTTTAGGTAAACTCAGTCCTGAGTTAAGATTCAAAGATACTTCTGATTGGTCTTGTCTATTGAAAAAAAATAAAAAAAATAAAAAAAAAAAAAAGATTCAAAGATACTTAATCAAAGCTCTTAAAAATTGTCTGTTTGCTGCAAACTTCCTTGGTTTACTAACCTAAAACTGTAATTCATTGTCCTTAGCCTTGAATATCCTCATTTATGCAAATAAGCATCAGTTTGAAATTCTGAGTCGAGAGAAACATCTCAGCAGAGAATTGCTCCTTGAAGAATTGAAAAAAGCTCTCCCGAGTAATTAGGCTTTTCATGATGAAAAGGATGGGAGGATGGGTTCTCTTGGTTTGGACTTCCTCATCTCTGATGATCAAGCAAGCATTTCCTGGCCTCTGCTCAGTTTCATGATAATCAATCTAAAACATAGCTCAGATCTGATATAGTTTAATGTAGAGGGACACATCCCCAAATAGTCAATAAAGACTACTTATTCAAAACTCCGACATCAGAGGTTACTTTCTTCAACAATGATCTGTGTCTCTAAACTGGAAATGATATAGCAAGCTTGCTAAGAAGTTTCACAGGAACACTGTGATGACCTGTGAGTGATAAAGACAACTCCCAAATTACCTTAAAAAAAGAAAGTCCCATGGCAGGCAAGGCTGCAGTTGTGTAATGCCCTGGCCTGACAGGTTCCTATGAATGAAGCCAAGCTGATGGACATGACCTGTCTCTATGGAATGGGCAGCTTTACAGAGAAAACCCGTTCCACAGGTCCCAAGCTATACTTCAAATGTTGCAACACAGAGCAGGAAAGGAACAGCAGCTAAGGGTGAACAGGGGGTAAGGAACAGGAGAAGTACAGATGATTCAGGGCAATGCAATCCTGCTGGTAGATACAGAAGATGGTTTTAGAAATTAGTTGTAGTGGTCCAAGGAACCTCGCATTTCTGAAACTTCCAAAACACAAATAACTCCAGTATTATAAACAGTTCCAGGCCGGGTGCAGTGGCTCACGAGTATAATCCTAGAACTTTGAGAGACCAAGGCGGAAGGATCGCTCTAGGTCAGGAGTTCAAGACCAGCCTGAACAAGAGCAAGACCTGGTCTCTACTAAAAACAGGAAAATTAGCCAGGCATGGTGGCACACACCTGTAGTCCCAGCTACTTGGAAGGCTGAGGGAGCAGGATCACTTGAGCCCAGGAGTTTGAGGTTGCAGTGAGCTATGATGACGCCACGGCACTCTAGCCCTGGCAACAGAGTGAGATGCCGTCTCAATCAATCAATCAATCAATAAACAAACAGTTCCAGATTATACAAAAGGTGGAAGGTTCCCTAATTCATTCCATATGACTAGATAATCCACAATGTCCAAGCTGTTACAAGGATAGCAAAACCAATCACTGAACAAACTATGCTAAACTCATTTGTTAATATAAATACAAAAATCCAAAATAAAACATTAGCAAAAAGAAGTCAGCAGTACACTCAAAGAACAATACACTATGACCAAGAAGATTTATTCCTGGACTACAGAGAGGATCAATATTGGAAACACTGTTAATAAGCTAAAAGAGAGAAACCGTGTGATTACTTTTATAATCATAATTGTTAATACATCTAATATACCTTCCTGATTTAAATCTTAGTAAGCGAGAGCTTTGTTTGATAAACACTCCTTAATTTAATAGTGTTTATTAGAAACCACCATACTCAGTAGTAACACAATGAAGCAATTTCTAGTAAAGTTAAGAACAATACAAGGATGCCTGGCCTCAAAGCTATTACTGAGCATCGGCCTGGAGATTCTAGACAATGCAGAAAAAGGGCAAGAAAAAAAAATGAGCTATAAATACCTATTCTGGTATTTACCAGAAAGAAAGGAAAAAATGATGTAACTGCCAGCAAATCTAAGAGAATCAACTGGAAACCAAATATGAAATTATTTGACAACAATGGAAAAACAAATACAAAACAATAGGAGTTTGGCAAAGTGCACCCAAATATGAGAACATACATGATAGTTTTCCATGTATCTGCAAGAACAAGTATGGTAGGCGAATAATGGCCCCCATGATGTCCACATCCTAGTCCCTGGAACCTGTGCATGCATTACTTACTGGCAGAAAGCCTTTGCAAAAGAGATTAAGATAGATTATCCTGAATTATTATTTAATTAGCCAGGCATGGTGGCGTGCATGTGTAGTCCCAGGAAAAAAAAAAGTGCTCTGTTTTCTCCAGAATTTATTTGCAAGCCACTGACACCTATTCTGCTGCTGAGATTTGATCTTACACCTTGCTATATTATTCCCACAGTTTTCTAATTACATAGTAACTTTTTGTCTCCATGTCAAATCATAGTGTAACCTTTTTGAGAAAGTTTTAATAGGCAATTAAATTAAGGACCTACATAGTACCACTAATGTCCATAACTAAAAAGAAGTGACAATGCTATAAGTAACTATGACCAATTTGATCCACACAAGGGCAATGACAATTATGTCCATGGCAGCCACCTGACTGACTGTATAACAGTTGTAAGATTTCACATATATCAAAATGTGAAAAAATATGCCTCTGAGAATCAATACAATATAATATATAGGCTGGGCATGGGGGTTCATGCCTGTAATCCTAGCACTCTGGGAGGCCAAGGCCAGAGGATGGCTCAAAGTCAAGAGTTCGAAACCAGCCTGAGCAAGAGCAAGACCCTGTCTCTACTAAAAATAGAAGAAATTAATTGGCCAACTAAAAATATATAGAGAAAAAATTAGCCGGGCATGGTGGCGCGTGCCTGTAGTCCCAGCTACTCAGGAGGCTGAGGCAGAAGGATCACCTGAGCCCCGGAGTTCGAGGTTACAGTCAGCTATGATTGTGCCATGCACTGCAACCTGGGCCACAGAGTGAGACACTGCCTCAAAAAAAAAAAAAAAAAATGAAGAATGGTACATATATAATAATTCCATTTTATCTTCTTTCTCTTATTCTTTTTTTTTTTTTTTTGAGACAGAGTCTCACTCTGTTGCTCAGGCTAGAGTGAGTGCCCTGGCGTCAGCCTAGCTCACAGCAACCTCAATCTTCTGGGCTCAAGTGATCCTCCTGCTTCAGCCCCCCAAGTAGCTGGGACTACAGGCATGCACCACCATGCCCAGCTAATTTTTTGTATATATATTTTTAGTTGGTCAATTAATTTCTTTCTATTTTTAGTAGAGACGGGGTCTCGCTCAGGGTGGTTTCAAACTCCTGAAATCCAGCAATCCGCCGGCCTCAGCCTCCCAGAGTGCTAGGATTACAGGCGTGAGCCACCACCCCCGGCCTCTTATTCATTTTTAATGGCCACTCTGCCTTCTCTCTTTCTTTTTTCCCCACCCACTGGGCCAATCTAACCTAGAATCCCAAAGTTGAAAAACCAGACCTGCAAGAATGTCTCAGAAAAGAGAAAAACTGGCTCCCAGTTCATCAAATTCCTTGAGCCTTTGTTTCTGCTTCATTAATGTTAGGAAGCAACTCTGGGAAAAATCAATATTTCTTCTCTTCTCTGTAGTTTCCTGCAAATAACTCAATTACACTTTATGATTTTATTATTGATCTTGTCTACCACCCACATTGAATTCAAAGCCCTTTGTGGGGAGAGACATGTTCCTCATCTCTGTGTTCCCAGTGTCTAGGACAATGGCAGGCACAGCATGCTTGATTGTTTAAATGTAAATAATCAGCAATAAGAAGAAAGCTAAGCAACTGGTACTGTATTAATCCATTGGAATATAAGTACTCTGAATAAGACATGGTTTCTGCCCATAACATGCATTCACTCTAGGAAAGGAGTCACACCCTATGTAAGCATAACAAAAATCCAAGGAAGTATATAATAAATGTCATAGGGTGACTTTAAGTGATAGTTAACATTTGATAGACACTTATTATATGTTAGGTATTATGCTGGTTCTCCATATGAATTAATTCATTCAGTCTTTACAATACATACATGACGTACTAATAGGTATTCTTGTTCCCAGTTTCATAGATAAGGCAACTGAGGCACATAGAGGTGAAGTAACTCATCCAAAGGCACAGAGATAGTAAGTGGCAGATCTGAGATTTGAATTTAGATAGTGTGACTCCAGAGGAACCATACCAAACGACTACTTATACTTTCTCCTGAAATAGAATATGGGAATTCAGAAAGAAGAAAACTTACTATCATCTTGGGAGGGAAAGTGGAGATCATGAAAGGAGGAAATATATGAACCGAAGAAAAGGGAGGGGGTTCCAGATAGAAGAAATGGCACGAACAAAGACATGGAGGTGGAAAAGTTAGCACTTAAGAGTATATTATAGGTGATGTACACCTGTAATCCCAGCTACCCAGCAGGCTGAGGCAGGAGGATCACTTGTGCCCAGGAGTTTCAAGACCAGCCTAGGCAACACACTGAGACCCTGTCTCAAACAACAACGAAAAGAATATATTATCGATCAGAGTTCTAATTATCAAGGATAATCGTTGGCCCTTAAATCTAAATCCCTCCACATCTTCCAAAATATTCTTCAGATCAGCAAGAAGAGCAAATAAGGCAACATAAAACATATGCTGTCATCATAACTGGAAAACAGAGAACGCTACAAATTTAAATTATCAGTAAGTAGAAAACTAAATGCCAGCAAAGGGATCCCTCCATCTCCCACAAATCCTTACGGAGAGTCAGGGCTCTCAAAGGACTGTGTGCAAGAGAGAAGCAAAAGGCCCTAGAGTGAGCTAGATGCACGCCCAGAAAGAGAAATTCCACCTTCACTGTGAAAATACTGAAAAAGAGACCCAGTACGGTCAGAGCACTGACTGC